ACCGGGTAAGGTTAAATGTTGGGTTACCTGAGTGGGTTGCTTTGTTGGGCTTCACTTGTATCTGGGCTTGGGTTGGCCTTATTTGGGCCTTGGGTTGGGTTTAGGGCTACTAGTTGTTACTATTGAACTCTGGGTGAAGGCCTGATGTTGTTTTGGGCTTATAATAAAATGGGCCTGCAAAAATGTAACATATGTATAAATAATAATAATAATAATAATAATAATAATAATAATAATAATAATAATAATATTTTTGTAGACCCGGACAAAAACGGGTTTCTACAGATTATTTAATAAATTTAAGGTGAATATAAGATAATACATGTTCAAAGATAATCATTTGACAATGAACTCTCGTACCTCTAACAAGCAGCAGAGCCACAACTTGGTGAAGGTGGACACATGCTCATCCTAAAATTTAGATTTTCTTCGATTTGTTACTTATTTTAGTAATGGTGCCACCTTAAAAATTTTTGTACCCACCTTGTGATGTGGATTTTTTTGATTAATTACTTATTTTACTAATGGTGTTCACTCTATTTAAAATTTTTATGTAGTTAAACATATATGTATTCACTCTAAAAAATAGATCTCGATCTACCATTACCCTTTACATATGTAATGTTTGAACTCGAGACTTCAAGAGATAATAATAAATTCCTTATCGACTGAGGTTATTTAATTGGTGCTTGTAAATAACAATACAAATGGTAAATATAAACTTAAAAATAAACGTGGAAAAAGAATTCCATTCTAACTATCCCATCTCTTATTGTTCAACGTACTGACATTTTACTTTCTCCGCTTTTCATGTTGTAAAACCTTTTTTTTTCAGTTTTATGTTCCGTTCCGATATTAATATTATGTAATATTTTATTATTATTATTATTTTATTAGACTAAATTAATTATAAAGTTGTGTCTGTTTTAAATATTTTTAATTATTTGATAATGACATTTAATTATCTTGTTACAGTTATTGATGCTCGAACATGTAATATTTAAGAACATTATCGATTTATTTAATCACCGATACAAATTGATTCGTGCCATATTTTTTATTTTCTCCACCTACGGTTACATGCTATGCATATATATATACACACACATTCAGATTAATATCATGAAGGAATCAAATATTACAAAAATGTCACGTTCCATGACTCTAACTCCAGCAGCTCCGGATTCCCAGATTGACCAGCTCCTAGCGTCCCTCAATTCTCAAACGCTTCCTCTCTTTTGTTTTTGAGTAGTCTAACATATGCAATGGTAAAGCGCCAGTAATGTTTTTCCAAAGAATATTGTGAAAGAGAAAGAGTCTGGAATTTTGGACATATCTGTTGAACAAAAACTTCACACATGTATTACCAGCGACCAATGTTTTTTAGTTTTTGTTTCACGGAATCTGATGTCCTGTTTTAGTCAAAAGGTGTTATGAATGTACGCATATACATATCATATATCATGTAATATATATATATATATATGTAGCAAAGTACTAATATGGTAGCAGCCCAACCCTGATATGCTGCATAAAGCAAATTGCATTATCAAACTTTTACAGTTGATGGAACAGTTTTATGTCACCATAAAACTGGGCATCATATTATTTATATGCCATTTTTTTATCTTTTGTTTAGCTTTGATTAGATCTGGAAACCCTATTCATTTCTTCAGATGATGACATGTTGTGTCCAACGAGTTACGACGTTTTGGATATCGCAAAACGTTTTAGGGATTAAATTTTGTTTTTTTGGACTATATTGGGAGATGATGTATTTTAGAGTGGCGAAACCCAGTAAAAACTTGTGATGGAAAACCAACCAATAGCTAAGGGACACATGTGTATAACCTACTTTTGAACTAAAACATTTTACCCCTTAAAATCTCAATTTCTTTGGTCATTTGGCCTAGGCGTTTTTCCAAAAAAAAAAAAATCATCTTTTTAATTTAATATTATCGATCCGGCACCAGTCAAATTATATTTTCTGATCTAACACCCTTTGCAGTAAGGCGCGCCCCCTGCACCGCGTTATACGCTGAGTTGGGGCCACGTGGGGTAAGGCGCGCTCCTTTATGCTGACATGGATACACGTGTGAACGGGCGAGGATAAGTTGGTAATTAAGGGTATGGCGCGGCGCAGGAGCCGCGTCTTACCTATGATTCTGACACGCATCAGAAAGGCGCAGGCCCTGCCCCGCGCTATACTTTTAATTATCAAATTACCCCCGCATGATCACACCCATCCCTCCCTATAATACCTCAATTCTTAATCACCTTCATCACACCAAATCCTCTCAACTTCTCTCAAATACTCTTATATTCTATTATTAAGGTATATTTTATTATATTTAATTTTTTTAGTAATTTATTTAATTATTTTAATTGCTAAATATTTTATTTAATTAATTTTTTTGCAGACATAAAATGGAAGGCGATCTACTTTGGTTGGATGGAAATTATATATCTCGACACTTTGCTAATACGATAACATTTTAACGTTTTAATTTAATTAATTAATTTATTTAATGCATGATTATTAGTTTAAAAATTAATTTGTGTAATTATTTATTTTTTAGGAGAGAGATCGTATATTAGATCCTTTTATTTGGAACCTTAAGTTAGTTATATCTACTCGTGTAATGACGTATTTAGTAGAGACTGGATTCGGTCACCTAGGTAGATATCAGGGTCACTGTAAGATAGAACCAGACCTTATTTCTGCCTTAATAGAGCGGTAGAGGCCGGAGACCCACACATTTCATCTTCCGTGCGGAGAGTGCACGATCACGCTTGAGGATGTTTCTATGCACCTGGGGCTTCCGGTGGATGGAGGTGTGATATCAGGGATATCTTCCGGTTCTTGGACTACTTTGTGTCGGGTTAGTCTAGGACGTGTCCCGGAAAATTTTAACGGTGGACGGATAACGTTAAATTGGTTAGATGCCAATTTTCGGGAGTTGAGCGAGGACACGTCTGACGATGAAGTTAAACAGTATGCACGAGCATGCATACTGCAGCTGATAGGAGGGTTGATGATGCCGGACAAATCACGCAACCAAGTTCACTGTATGTGGTTGTAACATCTTGGCGACTTTCATCTGGCCGGATCGCTCAGTTGGGGCTCGACAGTTTTGGCTTGCCTGTACAGGGAGATGTGTCGAGCCATTGACTACAGGCGTAATGCTATCGGCGGATGTCTCCTGCTGCTATAGTCTTGGGCATGGTATCGATTACCCTTTTTATGTCCCATTGTCAAGAACCCATTCGTATTTCCGCTACTCCTGAGGTAATTATAAAACTGATTTTGTATATTAATAATTTTATACAGTCATACACCTCCAAGGTCCTTATTCTATGGAGGTGTTTCATCGTCATCAGCTCCTCATCAACCTAATGTACCTACTCAGGACAACGACGACGACGATGATGGTGGTGATGATGATGACAGCGAGGAGTCACAACCAGAAATCCTCCTCGAGACCGACAACCACCACCCTGCAGAACACATTCGCGTCGCAGGCATCAATAGATTTTGTTTTTTTATTATATTTGTATTTAGTTTATTTGACTTTTTAATTGTAATTTTTTATTATTTCTCATTTAATTCTTACTTTATTTTGTTAAATTTGTTTGACTTTTTTTAATGTATTTCAGTTAATTTTGTTTATTACCATTTAATATAAGTTATTGTAATTTGGTTATCATTTACCATTTAATACTTATTGTAAGTTTGTTGTATTTAAAATTATTTTAAAATACCAAATTGTTCGATAACTTTTTTAAATTTGTCACTTATTATCTCTTTTATTATAATCATATATAACGCAAACGTCCAATCTCGTATTATTGTATCATTTTTTTAATCTTCATCAGCGATTATCGAATGACATTAACTTAAAGTAAATACAAATTAAAGTACAAGAATTATTATTTGATAAACAAATACATTATTTCCTCATCAATTGTTACTTGATGGCAACAAAAGTTGACATGTTTTTCTAGTGTGTCATGGGTTTCTACAATGCACACATCTTCTGTTTTGTCTAGATCTTTCTCGAATATCCATATCGCATGCTTGATAATTGAGATAATTGAATAGCGCGGCCCTTGTCCCGCGCTATATCTTACGTGGCGTAAGGCGCGACCCCTGTCCCGCGCCATACACGTGTATTCATGTCAGCATAAGGCGCGCCTTATCCCACGTGACGCCAACTCAGCGTATAGCGCAGTACAGAGGGCGTGTCTTACTGTAAAGGGTATTAAATCGAAAAATATAATCTAACCGATGTCTGATCGAGAATATTAAATTAAAAAGATGATTTTTCGAAAAAAATACCTTTGGCCTAGGCATCTCTATCTACGTTGAAAAATGAAAACAAAACAAAGGAGTATAAAAAGTCTTGATCCGTATAATTAGTAATTAATCATAATTATTTCATAATGAATAATTAATATTATTTGAAAGTAGAAAACTTTATTCAAATGATATTACGGAAGAACGAATCAAGTGATCTATAGTAAATAAATTATTATAAATATTTAGGGTAGGAATGTTTAATGTTAAAAGTTTAAGAATTATATTTAAACAAATTAATAAAAAAATTGATATTACCGAATTACTTGTTGTAGGTAGTTATTTGTCATTCAAGCAAATCAATCATACTATTTACTTCAACTACCAATATTTAGTTATTAACTATTTAGTATATCAATAAATATTATATAGAATATAATTATATTTTTTAAATATGGAAATTCTTAATTTAATAATGTTAAGTTCATTAATATAAGATTTCATGCGTTATTATATATAGCATTAAAAATTCAATAGTTTATTATATAAAAAGAAGGAATATAATATAGAAGTAGCAGTACTAATCTAGTATCTGAGGACCTCGAAAGGAGAACCCAGAGCCTGGCTTCTCTCCTTTTTTAAAACCCCAAGCCCCATCCTTTTGCCTTAACAATTAGCACTCCTTTCTCCCTCGCATACCTCAACTCATTTTCTTCCACCGGAATCTCAATTCCAGCCACCGCCAACCCATCGCCGGAACCTGACACCTGGTCTCTCTGTTTCAATCAATTATTCAAACCATATTTCTTCAGTAATCCGTTATATATATAATAAAACCTGCTGCTTGGAAAAGCACTGAAAGCCATTGCCTTTGCCTCTCGCTTATCTTTGCTTTATCGGTATCAGAGTATGGAATCTCACACCTTTAATTGATTTCTTTTTCGTTTTTGGTTATTTTTTAATTAGTTAAAGTTTAGACGTTAGCTTTTTCGCTAATTGATTTTAGTATTCAAAGCTCATTTCTCTTTTGATGTGATTTAAGTGTAAAAAAAAAAAACTTACGAGTTCTTATCAGTTCCACGCTTTCATGTTCTCTAAGTTCTAAACTATAAAATGAAAAAAAAATTAAAGCTTAAAAAGCACATTGAATCCATCTCACAAAGTTATTTCCCACACTCTTTCCCTTTTAAAGTTCCTTTTCTTAAAGGTGGTGAGTGTTCGTTGATGGAAGTAAAGCTGATAATCATTATAAAAATGATACTACTACTGATAATGATAAGTTATTCCTTAGAAGAAGAACCATTTATGGTTTGTCTAAAATACTCGACTCCCCATGATCTTTATTCATACGCCTTGCTTTGGGTTTCCTAGTATATTCGTGCAACTTCGTTTTCCAACAAAGACATTCTTTCTTTTTCAGCAACAGTTTTAAATTTCATCATTTGCAGGAAGAATAAAAAAACAACAACCCTCTTCCCCTTTCCTTGAGCTTTTATCCTTCAAGGTTTCAAGTTTCAAGTTTCAACTAGGTTAGGATTTTTCTTGTGAATTTAAGATCGAGGTTTGTTCTCTGCAATGGGTTTCGATTTTCTCTCTTTATTGCTATTATGGTTATCGTTCTGGTTCATCAACCATGCACATTAATGATAATTTATCTCTTGCTTCTGACAGCTTGTGTAGTTCAATAATGTCCATACATCTGCTGCAGTTTTGCTTTAATATCTTGCAGAAAAATCTCCCTTTTTGTCCATTTATTGTATTTTTGAATAGGTGATCCCTTACCTAAAATGCTTACAAAATCCCTACAAGAAGTTACCCACCACCAACGCCCATCAGTTGGGATTCCAATTGTCAACATTTCATCGGCTTACCCAAAATCTCTATCTTTCTGAATTTTGATATCTGAGCGAAGATTATAGTACTAACAAAACCAACCAAACCAAAACCCGGTTTCTGTTCCTGTTTTTGCATATAGGGTAGCTATATATAGCCGCAGCAGCAGTCTATCTAAGCTACAGATACTGTTGAGATCTTTTCTTTATTTAAGTCCCCATTAAATGAAAAGAACTTTAAAATGTGTATATATTCTTAAATTGCAGAGTATGGAAGCTGGAAATCCTGGTTGTTGAGAAAGCTGATGAAGAAATAACCGCATTTATTGTTAACGTGGTGTTGCTATAAAGGAAACGTAAAAGCAAAAGGTTCGTTCCCAGATTCACAACTCTCTCTCTCTCTCTCTCTCTCTCTCTCTCTCTCTCTCCCTCTCCATTCACTACTATTAAACTCTCCCTTTTACCTAAACACATATACTATTATCCATTATCTATGCCATTTAGGACTAATCTGACACTTCTAAGTCAGATTTCCCTCTAGGGTAAGGGTAATACTTGGAGTTGGGTTCAAACTATCCTTTAAAGTCATTATATGCATAAATCCACTAAATTAATACATGAAATATTCGATACAATTATAGTTTAGTAGTATCTACGTGTTGTTCTTAAAAATTTGAGTTCAACTCTCCTTTTAAATATGCTAAACTATCATGATCTCGTCCCATTCCATGAATACCTTTATTCATCCAATGAGAATAAATGACTTTAAATCAATCAATGAATTTTTTCTCTCCAACTCAATGAGTTCTAAGTCTATCTATTTTATCCAACTTCACGATCACACATATAAATATAGATATATTTCATGATTGTTATTATATTTATATAAACAAATAAAAAGTTTTGTTGTGGAGGGGTTATGGCGTCTTTTGGGTTCATATTTCATTTTTTCTGCTAAAAATTATATTTATTTATTCAAATTAATGATCATAGAGGGTTCGTTAGTGGGTTGTGATGGTGTTGAGTAGCTTTTGAGTATTTTGTTTTCTGGTTTATCTCTTCTTTTCATTTCATGGACATTTCTATGTCTTGAGATCGACCATATTGGCTATACATCAGGGCAACATAGATCCCAAATCAAATAAAAAACAAAAAATGCTTTCGATTAATATTTTTTATAAAATAAAAATTATTTACCAGAACCAAACCAAATAAAAACTTTTGCAACAATTTTTTTTACGAATGAAATTTCAAACTTATTCAGCAATTTAACACTAAAATGTCTGTCTATCAGAAATGAAAAAGAAAAAAATAGCATCGAGTCTAAAATCCAAATATATATATATATATATATATATACACGTGTGTGTGTATACAGTGTGAATGCAAAGGGGTATTTGGGTATAATTTTTGCCATTATGGGCCAATTGATTTGAGCCCAAGTCTAATCAAATACCAAACCGGGGAGGTCGGACCAGTTCCATCCATCATCCACTAAATTTGAAAGGGACATATCATTTGATTGTTCTTCATGTCCTGTAATAATCCCATGGTTGGTAAGTACTGAAATTTACCCTCTTCGTCCTCTTTTTCTAAGCTTAAAGGACCCCTTTCCCTGCAATGGCCCCCTGCCTTTAAAACGGTACCAGCTGACAAATTGCAGCTAATCGTATCCCAATGCATAAGTGGAAAAAGACAGATTTCCGAACAATACAATGTGTCCGATTATTAAACAACCACCAAATCTACTCAAGTGTAAAGTATAAGCCTTTTGCATGAGTTTTTTTTTATCAATATCTCCCAGTTATTTTTAATCCTTATATTGATTTTGATGCTTATCACATTTGAGGCGCTGATTTTCCCATCTGTTGTGTTGTCTTCTGCTGTGTTTGCGACTCTGTTGCCGCTGTTGAAATGACTGTGTGGGTTGTCGAGTGCTTTAATGTTTAGTCACTGTTGGGTGGGCTTTGGGATGAGTTGAAGTTCCTTTATGCCTCCCCTATTTGAAAAACAAAAAGTAGCGTATAACATGCTAGATTGCAAGCCGTCCTGCAAAGAAAGTTGGAGAAAAAATGCAGCCTTCAACGCCACTGCTGCTGCTAATGGACCACAAGGCGCCACAGTTACATGCTTTCAACGTAGCTATCTATGGATAAATATTAAAACTGTGGTGGTCCATCTTCCTCGCGCAACTTTGTCTCTCTCTTTTTTTTTCTTTCCTTCAAAAGTTGACTCCTTGTGAGGGAAGAAATGAGAAATCACACACAAGATATTAACTTTGGGTTCATGGATGCATGGTACATATATGATTAAATGCTTTTGCATGACCTTTATGGATAGACAAATGGGGTGTTTTTTGAATTTCTTTCTTCACTTTCACAATTCTTTGTTTCTTTTGTTGACGATTTCTGAATCTTTGTGCTCTGGATTCTTGCTTTTATGCATGTTTGCATGACTTTTTCGGTCATTGTATTCAAGAGAATATTCAGAGAGAGCTATATAGACTAGTCGAGATTTGATGCCTACATATTTATATTTGTTTTTATCCTCTCTTTCTTTTCTTTTTAATTTGCTGCAACCGTTGCACTGCTTCGTGTGTGTGTTTTCCCAGTTGTTAGCACTGGCTTCTATAAACAAATCCCTTGTAGTAAGATTCTTGCAGAAAACGTGTACAATGTTATGTCATTACCTTTTGAATTTAGTCTTTTTAGCTATCACTTTGTGATCTCTCTCTCGTCTTTTGGTGCAACAATCCCTCCCTCTTTTTTCCCCCTTTCTTTTTCTCACTTTCTAGTGCTCTCATTGAGATATAACACTTTACTTTTAAATTAACAAATTGGTGAATATTTGTTTGTTCTTACAGAAATGCCTCACATGCAAATGAGAGACCTCAAGGAGAACTATGTGGTGTCAAGGGAACCTGTAAAGGCTTCCATGAATCAGAAGAAATCACCCCAAATGAACATCAAAAGTGGGGAAAGATTTGATGATGGTAAGAAGAGTTCTGGAAGGAGAAATGGAAGGAGAAGAGGCCGGGGGTATAAAGTAGATAGGTTACAAGATGGGAAGCTTGAGCCAAGCACGGGTTCTACTCCATGCAAGAGCCTTATGTTCCATAGAAGACCTGGCTATGGCCAGTTGGGAAACAAGTGTATCGTTAAAGCCAACCATTTTCTTGCTGAGATACCAGGATCTGACTTGAGTCATTATACAGTAAGTATAATAGTAAACTAAGTTGAATTTGAAATGCTGAGACTGAAATGTGATAATTATAATTGCTGTGTAATGTTTCTTTGGAACAGGTAGAAATAAATCCAGAAGTTGCTTCTCGTAAATTGGACAAGGCTATCATGACAGAGCTGGTTAAACTTTATAGAAACAGTGACTTGGGGATGAAGCTTCCTGTTTATGATGGAAGGAAAAACCTATATACTGCTGGTTCGCTGCCTTTTACCTCTGAGGTGTTCACTGTAATATTGACCGAGGAAGATGAAGAAACAGGCAATGTTAGGTAATTCATTCATACTACTGCTGTCCTTAGTCCAATTATCAGTTTTCAAACTACTAAGAATTTTGATGCATATATGACTATTTAATCAGGAAAAGAGAATTTAAAGTGACTATAAAGTTTGTAGCAGTCGCTAGTATGGCACAATTGCGTAACCTTCTATCTGGGAAACAAGTTGACACCCCTCAAGGAGCCCTTAACATTATTGATACTGTTTTAAGGGAACTTGCGGCTCAAAGGTAGCAATCTTATTTGTTCTAACCTGTTCTGTTTCACTCACGCCATTAGCAGCTGATTCTAACTTTTCAGTACTCTTTGATTAATTTGATGAGTGCAGATACTTATCAGTTGGAAGGTTCCTTTATTCTCCTAATATCAAGAAACCACAATCATTGGGCGGTGGCGTAGAATCATGGCGTGGCTTCTACCAGAGTATAAGGCCTACACAGATGGGGTTATCGCTGAATATTGGTAAAAACAACCTTTTAGACATTTCCATTTGATCGAGTGATTGCTTTATCTGCCGATTTTCACACTAATATCTGATTCTGTGTTAGATATGTCAACGATTGCCTTCATCGAACCACTACCTGTAATTGATTTTGTTGCTCAAATTTTGGGTAAAGATGTTTATTCAAGGCCAATGTTAGATGCAGATCGTGTCAAGGTATTTCATACTTTGTGGCTCTTGGTGGCCCCACTATTGGCATTCTTGGAAAATCATACATAGATTCTGTATCTTTCACATTGAAACACTTGCAACACTGATTGCAAACACTAATGACATGAAAAATCTGGTTTTGTTAATTTGGTTTCTGTTATGGCCTAAGACAAGAAAAAATCATAATGTCAAATACTGATAACTGCTGCAGCAACATTTCCTAGTTTCTTCTAACTTTCAAGACAGCAGTTTGGTACTTTGAACCTGCATTAACATGACGTAAGTTTAAATCAATCCTTTGCTAATACTTGTAAATTTATCTTTTTGGTCTTGTTCTATAGGTTAAGAAAGCACTTAGAGGTGTAAAAGTGGAAGTGACTCACAGAGGAAATGTACGCAGAAAATACCGTGTTTCGGGGTTAACAACTCAGCCAACAAGGGAGCTAATGTGTGTCTATATATATTTCTTGAATCTGACCTCCCGTTTCTTAGATTTGAAAGTTTGTCTTTGCTTCTTCCAGACTTTTTCCTGGAAATTAACTTTTAATGTTTTTCATTCATCAGTTTCCCACTTGATGAGCACATGAACATGAAATCAGTTGTTGAGTACTTTCAAGAGATGTATGGATATACCATTAGATATGCACACTTACCTTGTCTTCAAGTAGGAAATGAGAAGAAGGTGAATTATTTTCCTATGGAGGTACGTATAGCCCAATTCTCATCAAGCTTTGCATGAAGCACTTAGAGTTACATCCAATGTAATATATATATCTTATCACAGGCTTGCAAGATAGTTGAAGGACAGCGATACACTAAAGGGCTGAATGAGAAACAGATTACTTCTTTGCTGAAAGTTTCGTGCCAAAGACCATGCGAACAAGAATTGGACATTTTACAGGTCCTAAACACAGCTCCTTGGAGTACTTTCTGTCTTGTTCATATAAACTGATGCATATGAAACTGATACGATGTAAAGGCTGCCATTAGTTTTATTGTTTGGAATTCACGGGTCTATGTCAATATAACATCCATCTTTCCATCCTCCCTTTGTTGTTTCGCTACATTCAACGGAACTCATTGGATGATAATCATTTAAACCAACTTGGAAAGTGCATGTTTTCTTTAGCCGGGGGATGGAATTGGTCTGACTGTTATTTGGTGTCTTTACAGACAGTTCAACAGAATGATTATGATCACGATCCTTATGCAAAAGAGTTTGGAATCAATATAAGCAGCAAGCTTGCATCACTTGAGGCTCGGGTTCTTCCTGCTCCATGGGTAATGTTGAAATCACTCTTTAGTCATTTTTCTCCCTCTGTACAGCCACTTTCAATTCTTTACATGATCTATTCAATTCACCTTCTAACTGTTTAAAATCTTGTGCCTTTTATCTTTTTTTTCTTTTAAAGCTGAAGTATAGTGACAATGGAAAAGAAAAAGAACATTTGCCCAAAGTTGGTCAGTGGAATATGATGAACAAGGTTAGTCTATATAAAGGGGTGAAAGTTACTTAGACTTTCACCAGAAATGGCATCATTGTATATCAACTGCATGTTACTTCTATCTAAAGAAAGGCAATTCTTTGTTTGCATCATTGAATATCAACTGCATGCTACTTCTATCTAAAGAAAGGCAATTCTTTGTTGGCTTGCCGCAGAAAGTGATAAATGGAAGCACTATAAGATACTGGGCTTGTATCAACTTCTCACGAAGTGTTCAAGAGAGCACTGCACGTGGCTTTTGTCTGGAGTTAGTTCAGATGTGCCAAGTATCTGGCATGGTGAATTCTCCTAACCTTTGTTTCACTAAACTCAGTTCTATAATTCATCTCTTGAACTACTTCGAATGGCACCTTTCAATGCTTGAATCTTTGATAATTTTGGTTATTAAATACAGGAATTCGAACGAGACCCTGTAATTCCTATATATTCAGCAAGACCAGATCAAGTTAAAACGGCACTGAAATATGTATATTGTGCTGCTGTAAACAAACTTGAAGGAAAAGACATGGAATTACTCATTGCCATTCTTCCGGACAACAATGGTTCCTTATATGGTATGCCCCTTCTTGCAACTATATAATCTGTTTGAATAAATATAATCATAAAGAAAAAATAATAGTTTTTTCCTGCATATGAAAGTAGAGAATTAACATTTTGAGCACCAAGTTTTGCATACCATTCTCAAGCTTTAATTCATTCACTCGGTTTAAACCGAACCCTCTCAGCTCCTTCTGTTGGGATGAGACGTGCAGCTTTAGTCTATACTAAGAACAATTTGTTCTGCATTCAGGTGATCTTAAACGAATTTGTGAAACTGATCTGGGTTTGATTTCTCAATGCTGCCTGACAAAGCATGTTTTCAAGATTAGCAGACAGTACTTGGCAAATCTGTCACTTAAAATAAACGTCAAGGTCTGTTATAAATTATGTTTTTTTGTCTTGATAAAACGTGATATTTATACCGTTTTTCATAATTTTTAAGATGGGAGGAAGAAATACTGTGCTCTTAGATGCTTTAAGTTGGAGAATTCCTTTGGTTAGTGACATTCCAACGATAATATTTGGAGCTGATGTAACTCATCCAGAGTCCGGAGAGGACCGCAGTCCGTCAATAGCTGCTGTAAGTGAAATCCTGTAAATTAAAAGCTGATAATATGTCTACACCATAGCCTTAATGATTTCTGAAATACAGGTTGTGGCCTCACAAGACTGGCCAGAAGTGACAAAGTATGCTGGCCTAGTTTGTGCCCAGCCTCATAGGCAAGAACTTATTCAAGATCTATTCAAGACTTGGCAGGATCCACAACGAGGAACAGTTGCTGGAGGCATGATCAGGTTTGTTCATTTAAGATTTTATCATCACCATTGAGGTAGCTCGTCGTTCTTTCATTAGTTGTCCAATCTTATAATTAAGTCCATAATTCAAAGTTCTAAGCAGTTGGTCATCTTGGTCCTCTTCAACATGATCGTATATGAACGAACTGCCTGCTAATTTTTCAGACAAGTGTTTCAAGTTTGAACTATTTTTCTGCATTAACTCATTTCCATTAAGTTCAAATTGTGGATGCTTTTTTTTTTTTTTACAATTTTAAGGCTTCAAGTGTGTGTGTGTTTTTATATGCATATTATATATTTAGAGGTCCATATCATATTTTTTTTTTATAGGAATAGAAGGCCTCAATAAAACCTCCTTCGTGATTAACGGAACTTAAAAGTAGCTCCTTAATCCGCACAAGGAGAAAAAGAGTGCCCTAGGATTTCATTAAACTCAAATATAACAAAGTAATACAAACTAATCTCCCTCAAGAGATACAAAACCAGAAAGAAACAGCCCTTAACAGAACATAATTCAACCAATACCAGCCTTAGCTAGGACATCCGCCTCTATATTGGTTGTCCTACTAACCCAACTAATAAAACCTTCATAAACACTAAGCTTTTGAATAATGTCTTTAACAATTTGAACATAAACAACAGGACAAGAGACCACATCCTTAACCCAGCCAACTGCCACCTTACTATCACTCTCAATAATCAATCTATCTTTAAACCTATGACAAATAGATTCATAAAAATCTAAACCCTTTAGGATAGCCTTCAATTCCATTAAAGTTGGGGGGGCCCGGGCCAGCAGGCTCTTTGAAGGAGCCAAGAATCGAACCAGACATGTCTTTCAAAATACCACCTAAACCACTCCTCTTCCAATCACTCGAAGTAGCCGCATCCACATTAAGTTTAATAAAACCTTTTGGAGGAGGGGACCAAGGAAACATGATTGAAATCCGATTAGAATGGGACGAGTAGGAATCCACTAAGGAAGGGTCAGCAATAAGATCATCCTTGGAAATAGTAATATGAGTTTCCTTAGCTAGAAACCATGAAGCAAGCCTGCACCTTGCTAGAAAGAAAATCTCTGCTCGATCAAGCTTCCCTCCTTCAAACACTATAAAATTCCTGGTCTTCCAAATTGTCCATAAAACAGCTCCAGGGATAAATGACCAGATAAGAGAGTTGGTCTTCAAGTCATTCCAAGCCAATAGGAATCTTTTAGCATCTGCATGAAAAACAGACTGAAAATTCCAATAGCCAAAGAATTTCATCCAAATTGGCCAAACAACCGAACAGGAAAAAAATAAATGCGATGAAGACTCTTCTTCTAGATTACAAAAAGAACACAAAGTATCATTTATGCCCTGAACATCTCTCTTAACCAGAGTTGTCTTCACTGCCAACTTCTTTAAGATAACTTGCCAAAGAAAAGTCTCTACTCTTGGAGGCAACATACCCCTCCAAACATTAGACTTCCAAAATTTAGCTTCCTCCGAATCGGGAGAACCCGAATAAGATAGATTGACACATGATTTTACCGTGAACCTTCTCCAATCCCCTTCCAAAACAGTCCATCAGCGGCATCAGCAGAAATAGAAAAATCAGAGATAACAGCCATCAAATTCGCCCATTGCTCAAATTCCCAGTCATTCAACTCTCTCCTCAGCTGAACGTTCCAAATCCAACCCCCTGAACTGAACTCCCTAAACTGAAATAATCTTCCTGCTTTATTCACTGCAATAGAAAATAGTCTAGGGAACAATACCATCAAAAGATGATCCAATCCCCAATTGTCTTGCCAAAATCGAATGTTCCTCCCATTGCCAATTTTATAGCTATATTTACCTCTGATACTACAGCCCAACGAATCAGCTTTATAATGATTACTCACCATATCTCTCCACATCCAAGAAAATTTAGGAGAAACTTTACTGTCGAACTACATCAAGGAAGGGTCCAATTTATATTTGATGCAGAGCATTTCCCTCCAAACCACCTCCCTCTCAATAGCAAACCTCCAAGCCCACTTTTCCAAAAGTGCCCTATTCACCACATTTAAATTAAGAACCCCCAAGCCTCCTTCAATTTTTGGTTTACAAACGTCGGACCAGCTTACTTGCAAATATACTGAAGTAAATTTATTAACTTCGTTGGAAATGTAGGGAGCTCTTACTTGCATTTAAAAAGGCCACTGGACAAAAGCCACTGAGGATTATCTTTTACAGGTACACTGTAAAATTATTAGCTAAGCTTACTTGCAATTACAGGTTGCTGTTTAGATTTGAGTAATAGCTAAGCTTCAAGCTACTCTATTAGTTCAAGGTTTTTCTAATGTTGCTAAAAATTCTGCAGAGATGGTGTGAGTGAAGGACAATTCTACCAGGTTCTCCTATATGAACTCGACGCCATAAGAAAGGTTAATTATACATAAAGACATTTGGTGCAGGTTTACCATCTTTATCGTATAGGCTAATACCGTGTTAATGTCCAGGCCTGTGCATCACTGGAATCCACTTACCAACCTCCAGTTACATTCATAGTAGTTCAGAAGAGGCATCATACTAGGTTGTTTGCCAACAATCACAATGACAGAAGCAGCACTGACAAGAGTGGAAATATATTACCTGGTAAATGTTCTTTCCCGGGTTCACCGTTTGGTTAATTAAAATGTTAAAGATTAATATCTACTTGAAGTTTCCAAATGTAGGTACTGTGGTCGATTCCAAGATCTGTCATCCGACAGAGTTCGACTTCTATCTGTGTAGCCATGCCGGAATCCAGGTATGGAATCCAGTCTTAGATTCTATGCCTTAATTGTTTCGAATTAGAAACTGGTACTTTAGCATAGAAGTTGTGGATTTTTGGTTGGCATGCTACTGCTGCAAGTCTACTAGCACTATATGTTTTTAAATCGAAACTGGAAATCGACAGGGGACAAGTAGACCTGCTCATTATCATGTTCTCTGGGATGAGAATAACTTCACAGCGGATGAAATCCAGTCTCTAACGAACAACCTCTGTTACACGTAAGAATTTCAATTTGTTTCGATGCTATATAGGTCATCTTTGTTGATATATTCACATTAATGGATTCACTTTATTGCAGGTATGTTCGGTGCACGCGATCTGTTTCAGTCGGTAACTTCTAATCTGCGACTTGCGTAACCTCATAGCATGCTAGAACACATTTGCGTGGTTTTGTGACAAATTGATGGGAAACTTCATATATAACAAGAAACCATTTGAATTACTTTCTTTGGCATGGGGAGTTTGCTAAAATTTTGCGACAGCATAAAAACAATCTGTTTTTCTTTTTACTGTGTGCAGTGCCCCCGGCATATTATGCTCATCTAGCAGCCTACCGAGCTCGATTCTACATTGAACCCGAGGCATCTGAAAATGGTAAAGCACGAAGCACGCGCATAGCCAATGGATCATCGGTTCGGCCTTTACCGGCCTTGAAAGAGAAGGTGAAGAACGTGATGTTCTACTGTTAGAACATGAAGGGGATGATTGAAGAACGATATGTACATGCTTGTTGTGTTCATAGTGTAAGCATTTTAATTGTGGAAAAATCGCAACCAACGACTTGACTGTAACAGTAAGTAGCAGATTAACAAAGGCTTTTAAAGCAAATGCCAGAGTTCTATCTAAATGAATGGATGAATTACATTGCTGGTCAAAACACATGCAAGAGTCTTTTCAATATGGTAATGAGAATTTGACTGGTCTTCTTTTACCACATTTATACACAGCCTGTAATAACTTGAGGAGGAGATTTCCAAGCTGAAAAGGGGATCCGCATTTCATTTTACTGGTCTCGAGAAACTGGGACCTGTCTTGCAAATTAAATGTAAAATTTGACATTTGAACAGATTAGATAATTGGTGGCAACTGATTTGAACTGAAAAAAACTTCACTGTGCATACCAGAACATCACCACCTCTACTGTCCCTGTCAGATTCTCAACCCAAAAAACAATTGGGGGAAACAGTCACTTGCAGTATCTGTATTGCTAAGAAATTTTATGCTGAAAGATAATTAAATTAAAATCATAAAAGACGAAAAGCAATTAATGGTTGCAAACAATTTGGATTAGAAGATGTAAGATGCAAGCACTTTTTTTTATGGTCAAAGTGATTGTTACAAGCTACTGTCGTTGCATGTCTCAATCGACCAAGGTTGCTGTTCTTTTCTTCCTCAATATGGATTCAAAATCTTTGCCTCATTCAATCACGTGTATGTTTTTTTTTTTATCCTTTCGGTCGATGATAAAGCTAGCATTGTTGGAATCTAGACTTTTCCACCCCCATAATTAGCGTTATTTATCACTCCTAATATCTCCCTTCTCATTATTTATCAGAGCCGTAGTTGAGAATCTTTTAAGTGATGATAATAATAATAAATAATGAAAATTGATGGAATCCCATTTTCTTTTTAGAAATTACATAAATTTATTAATTGGATACTGCTGTCTGAAAATGAGATTTACTGCAACTTACTATTGTATTGGCATAAAGGCAGGATACTCCCACACGTTCTACGAACCTGATGGTGAAATCTTTAATTTAAGATGCGACAATTTCACTTTAAATTGACTATTTTTCAATAAAATAAATTAATAAGTATTATTCAATAAATTACTGCCTCTCAAGTCCAAGCTCAAGTGGGGGTGACAGTACTAGGATTGTTAGACATGATCTGTACGTGAAAAATTAAAATAATGATTTTGAAACAATTATTTCATAAAAGAAATTTATACCTAAAAGGAAAATGAATAGACTTATTAATGGATAATATATGAACTTATTTGTTTTTTTTAAATTGATATGTGAAATCAAAATCAATAAAAAAGAATTGAAAGTGAAAGGGTTGAAGATGTGCTTCGACGACTGCGACGTTGGATGAAGCCGGATCAGGATGAGGTGAAAATTAATGTTGATGGGGCGTATTGCAAGGAGTCTAGAGTTGCGGCTGTTGGTATTGTGGCTCGGGATTCGTATGGAATGGTTATTGGGGGATTGGCTAAGAGGATTGATCTTCCATTCACGGCAGAGTCTGCGGAAGCTGTTGCTTTTACGGAGGGAATTCGACTGGCTTCTGAGAATGGGTGGAACAAAGTCATTATCGAAGGAGATGCCATGTCGATTGTTTATAGGCTGTCAAATCAGGATTCGAGAAAATACAGGATATTTCTACAATTGGATTGCTGCTCAATGGGGCTAGACGGATGCTCGCTTACCTCCCTATGCTTAAAGTTCATTATGTATGTAGGGAAGCTAATCGTGTCGCCCATGTTCTTGCTCAATGGGCCTTATCGAACAACAATTCAGTTTGATTTTTTCTTGATGAACCTGATTGTATTAAGCAAGCTGTAATTGATGATGCTATTGGAATATAAGGATCTTTTCCTTTAAAAAAAAATGCTGGGAAGTATCACATGTGGGCCCCAAATTTAATGGTCTTAGTTTTGGACCACTTTGATCCGGGAATATCCGAGTCACATGAATCATGGGTCGGGTTTTGACTTTATTTATAAAAATTTTTATATATATAATTTTAAAATTATTTTATACGTCGTATCCCATCCTATCCCCGGGCAACATAACACTCAGAACCTGAAAAAGGTATCTGAGCAAATTACCCAGTTTGGAAAGTAGCAAGTACCTGCCAGTTCTGTATCTCTCATAATTTTCATCTTTTTAAGCCTAATGCCTAATGCCTAATGCCTAATGCCTAATGCCTAATGCCTAATGCTAACTCTAACCACCAAATTTAATGGTCTTAGTTTTGGACCACTTTGATCCGGGAATATCCGAGTCACCAGGACGTGAATGATGATGAATCATGGGTCCGGTTTTGACTTTATTTATAATTTTTTATATATTTATAATTTTAAAATTATTTTATACGTCGTATACCATCCTATCCCCGTATCTATATCATGGCAACATAACACTCAGAACCTGAAAAAGGTATCTGAGCAAATTACCCAGTTTGGAAAGTAGCAAGTACCTACCAGTTCTGTATCTCTCATAATTTTCATCTTTTTAAGCCTAATGCCTAATGCCTAATGCCTAATGCCTAATGCCTAATGCCTAATGCCTAATGCCCAATGCCTAACGCTAACTCTAACCACCAAATCAACCTCTGCTATCTTCTTCATAACCATCATTTGCCCGATTCAAGGACATAGGAGAAAATAGGTATATACGGAAAATCATAGGAACAGATTTCTCCTGGAGTAAAATCACAATGAAAATAACATCCATAATACTGGAAAAAAAAACGGGTGTTTTTTTCATTTAATTTTTTCTCCTCGATATATCACATTTTTCATTTAATTTTTTCTATCAGGCATCATTCAAATTATTTTTTTCGAACTAACACCTTTTGCAGTAAGGCGCGTCCCCTACAGCGCACTTTACGTTAATCTGGCCCCACGTGTGTAAAGCGCGGCACCTGGGGCGCGTCTTACGCCATATAGGGTAATAGCGCGAGACATGGACCTCGTCTGACCTTTAATTCAATTATATATAGCGCAAAGAAAGGGTCGCGCCTTAGCTTTAACTGATATAATTATATAAGGTGCGATGCAGGTATTGCGTCTTGTATAATTATAGCAACTTTTCTCGGCTATAAATACCCTTCTCCCCCAGTAAACTCTTCACATCTCCCCTCTCAACTTATAAATTAAAACAATTTCCTCAACGAGTCAATAATTCCGACAATCTTCTTATATTTGATTTAGAAGTTCGTGCGATTTTTCGTTATAAGGTAATTTTGTTATAATTTTTTTATTATACTTATTATTTATTATAATTATTTGAAAAAATATTATACTAATTGTTATCTTTTCGTTCATATATTATTCATTTAATCAGGTTTGTTTCAGTTTTTTTCCAGATATAATATTGTCGCAGTTTTAAACTCAAAGAATGACGCGACTTTCAGCTATTGTTTATTATGATGGTGAAATTCGAGAAGATGAAACCGGCATTGTTTTCGTATCAAATGAGCGTGTTAAAATATCATTTAAGAGAAACATAACTCTTGAGGAGCTGATAACGAAGATTTCGATGAAGGTTCATATTAGAAGTAGTAGAAGAATGTCGTCGTTGCAATACAGATTGAACAGTAAAAAACGATACAAAAAAACGAGATTGAACGTTGGTGTTATATGTGATTATAATAAAAGATATAATAAGTGACAAATTGAAGAAAGTTTGAGAACACAATTATTAAATTTTATAAAACTAATAACAATTTGGTATTTGAACATAATTTTAAATACAACAAACTTACAAAAAGTATTATAAATGATAACCAAATAACTGATATTAAATGGTAATAAACAAAATTAACCAAAATACATTAACAAAACTGTATAACAAATTTAACAAAATAAAATAAAATAAATTCAACCACATTAACAAAATAAAGTAAGTATTAAATGATAAAAAATTACAATAAAGAAATCCAATAAACAACTAAATACAAATATAAAAAAAAACCAAATCTATCGATGCATGCGACGCGAATGTGTTCCGCAGGGCGGTGGTTGTCGGTCTCGAGGAGGATTTCTTCGTATCAGTGGTTGTGACTCCTCGTTGTTATCATCATCACCATCATCGTCGTCGTTGTCGTCGTCGTCGTCGTCGTCATCGTCGTCGTCGTCATCGTTGTCATCGTCGTCGTCGTGAGCAGCTACATTAGGTTGATGAGGAGCTTATGACGATGAAGTACCTCCATAGAATAAGGACCTTGGAGGTGTATGACTGACTATCCCACCGGCCTGCGAAAACTGAGAAAACTCATAAAACCCAGACATCGCTGAGTGTGAAAACTATACAGGAGGTGTCTGTGCTGCGGCCATGGGTAATAAGGCTGAACCCGCCAAAATATGGTCATATGAACCTCAAGTCAGATCTGCAAACATAGACCCATAATATCCTTCAGAAGGGGTCATAAAACTCTGTGACGGTGGCAGTAGCGGAGTCATAAAACTAGGTGACAGTGGCGGCGGTGGCATCAGGTAAGGGAATGGCGATGGAGGCATCACATATGGCTGCGGAAGGTAAGTCGCTATAGACGATGGCTGCTGTGAAGGTCCTGCTGGTGCAGTTGAGGATGAACCGGAAGCACCTATTCTCTGTCCACGAGTCGGGGGACGATGGTGCTGTGTCAGTGAACGTCTCTGTCGACGTCGCTGAAAGGTCCACCCTCGTGCATCATCGGAAAGCAGAAACGGTTTCCCGTTACTGTTGAACCACTCGTAATAACCGTCAGCAACCATCAAGAAGTCAGTAAAAATGGGCTCTCTACGGAGAAGGCACCGATGTCGATCCTCCCACAGCACGACCCACTCGTGATGCCTCACCAGTCAATCTGTATCAGTCTTGCCGCGTCTATCTGTGCTATGCAACTCGCCCATATTGCGAGGTGCTTCCGGAATTGGTTGAAAACAACCAAACTGCCGGAGCACGCGATCAGTGGAGTGTCACTCGACGATTGCATAATAGATCAAAAGGACCATCGCCATCCAAACATCTAATGGGCAACTCAACTCAGGTGGGATCACCATCCTCACATAATCATTAGAATATGAAACCCTTCAAATTAAAACAAATATATATAATTTTTATCAAAATAATAATCTAATTATACAACTATAATCTAAAATCAATTTTTAAACATTAAAAGGCATACCTATGTGCCAACCTTCTGATCGATTAACACCCTCATTTTTTCTAAATCATAAGGTAGCTCCTGATGATTTTTCCTATCAGTAGACCACCTATTCAAGGAAAAAAATTTATTATAAACTGTATAAAATGATTAATATACGAAATCAATTTTATAATTACCTCAATAGTAGTGGAAATACGAATGAGTTCTTGACAACGGGACATAAAAAGAGCAATCGATACCACGCCCCTAGATAGTCCCGGCACAAAGCAGTCCATGAACCGTGCACCATCCTCGATATCACATCTCCATCCATCGAAAGCCCCAGGTGCATAGAAACATCCTCAAGTGTAATCGTGCACTCTCCACACGAAAGATGGAATGTATGGGTCTCCGGCCTCTACCGCTCCACCAAGGCAACAATAAGGTCTGGTTCTATCTTACAGTGACCCTCATATCTACATATGTGACTGAATCCAACCTCTACTAAATACGGCATGACACGGCCAGATATCACTAACTTAAGGTTCCTAATAAAAAGATCTAATAAACAGCCTCTCTCCTAAAATATAAATAATTACAAAAATTAATTTTTAAACTAATAATCATGCATTAAATAAATATATAAATTATTACTATTAATTTAAATTAAATTAAAACGTTAAAATGTTACCCTATCAGCAAAATGTCGAGATATATGATTTCCATCCAAGCGAAGCAGACAACCTTCCATTTTATATCTGTAAAAAAATTAATTAAATACAATACTAAATAATTTAAATACTTAAATAAATTAAATATTAAATATTAAATATAATAAAATATACCTTAAACAGAGAATATAAAAGTATTTGAGAGAGGTTTAGAGAAGTTGAGGGAAGTTGAGAGGATTTGGTGTGAGGAAAGTGATTGAGGATAGGGGTATTTATAGGGAGGGATGGGGTGTGAACGGTCGGGGTAGGTAGGTAATTAAACCTAAGGCGCGCCGTAGGGGGCGCGCCTTTCTGACGCGTGTCAGATTTGCAGGTAAGGCGCGTTGCCTGCACCGCACTTTACACACGTGTATCTAGTCAGCATAAGGTGCTTTTCAGGGGGAGAGCCTTACCCCACGTGGAGCCAGATCAGCGTAAAGCACGCTGAAGGAGGCGCGCCTTACTGCAAAGGGTGTTAGATCGAGAAAAATAGTCTGAAGGGTGCCTGACAGGGAAAATTAAATAGAAAAGGTGATATATCAAGAAAAACGCCAAAAGGCGAGTAAAAAAGGAAAAAAAACAGAATTACCCCAAATTTACAGCAAGGTCTTAGTTGTGACTACTTATTTACTATTAGCACGCCTTTGATTAGGATGGCCTATGAGTATCCGGTACCGGCGCATCAGGTAAGGCTTGCCAGGTCGAAGCAGCAATAAGGGGGCCACTATGCCAACCCAGAGTCAAGCACCTATCGTTTTCTTCCACTGAGTACCCTTCCGCCGAAAACAGTGTCAACAACAGGCTAGCTTGCTTATACGCGTTGGACCCCAAATATAATGGTCAAAATTCAACGCTACTCAGACGTGTTCTCCACTTAGCCAACGGTTCGTGTCTTTCGACTCGAGCTGACCCTTCACAGCTCACCATGTTGGTTATTTCCCTTTGAATGCATATATCGGAGAATGCCTTGTCAGGTTGAATGCTGCAAGCTTCTAAAGAATCTAACATCGTTGAATAATAATGAAGAGCTTCAATAAAAGGTCTAAAAAACCTGATTGGTTGTGGTTTGCTTCTTGTTCCACGACGGTCATGATTTTCGGGTTTAAGCTCCAGATCCAACTCAAAACAATTTCGATAGGGGAATTTCGGGTTGGATCAGAATCGAGAATTTGGATTCACCTGAAGCATCCACGGTTTTACGTTTTCGAGCCCGGAAGCCTCGACTCCGCGGAAGGCAAAACGAACGTTGACAGACCGAGCCAACTCCGTGAGTCACAACCTGATTTCACGAATCGAGTCACGACCATCTGGAGATGGATGTCCGATGCCAGTGAGACGAAGTAAAGGAGGTTCACTGGGTCGTAAAGCGAGGGCTTGTATCTGTTGGTAATGCTCATTGAATATTGATATTGGAAAATTAGGTAAATGCTCATTGAATATTAGAAAATTAGGTAATGCTCATTGAATATTGAAAAATTAGGTATTTCCACTAGCATTAGAAATGACTATTTTACCCTCACTATTTAGTCTATAAAAAGAGAGCAATTTCATTCATTTTGAATCATCCCAAGCAAACATTTTATTTGAAAACACTCATCTCTTTTAAGTGTTGTTTGAGTTGAGAGAAGATCAATACCACCGAGTTCACTCCAGTTTTTGGGTGTATGAATTCTTTGAGAGCCGTGTTAACATCGGGGGAACGGTCCGCCTACTGCAGCAATTACACACATCAGGGCGAATTCGTTTATAAGGCAATGGTTAATACCATGGCACGGTTTCTAATATGTTTCTTTTAAATTATAATTTATCTTTCCTTTCAGTGTTAACGGTGTTATTTTGCAGTCTATTTTCCAACAATTTAGAAACGAAATTCATACTGCTACTATGCTCGAACATAGTTGAACTTCAAAGAAGATATGGGCTTTGAACAAGCAAATTCCACGTATGGCTGCAAAAAGTAATAGGGTTTCAACTATTATTGTTGAAAATAAAAGTTCAAACGTCTGGTATGTTAGTTTGATTATAGTAACAATACTATCAATTTAATTGGTAGTTCAATTTCATGTTAAAACCATTGAAAGTCTTTTAATGCGTGGAGTTTTTAATGCATAATAATGTATGAGGTTTAAAACATATGCACGTTAGCATTAAGGCCATTAAATATTATTTTTAACATTGGTTTTAATAGTGATAAATGCATGAGATTAATGCATTAATGATGCCATGAATTTTAGTGGTTTCAATATTTTAATGCTTGAATTATTAATATATGCTTTCAATGTTTTAAAGATTAGTGCTTCATAATTTTTAAGATTGATATGTGTTAGGTACATTTGAAAGCAATTATAAATTCTTTAACAATTTATTGGAAATGGTATATATAATGCGTTTAAGGACAATGAAAACTATAATATCATTTTAAGAAATGGTATTTATTTTACAAATCATACTAGGAATAGGCGATGATCATCCAGGCGAGCAGGGCGAGAGGATCGTTCGGGAAAGAATGTGTTACGATTATCATCTTCAACATTCCAGAGTTTCTTCATCATAAAGGCCTTTGGCGTTTTTTTGTCAAATATGGTGAGGTTATCGATTCTTTCATCCCTATTAAAAGAAGCAAGGGAGGAAGCAGGTTTGGTTTTGTTCGGTTCACCAGTTTAGCGGATGCGAGGAAGGCTATCTCTTGTGCTGATAGATCGTGGATTCAAGGCAACAAAGTAAGAGTTTTTATGGCGAGATTTCAACCTCGTGAAGCTTTCTGGAGAAAGAAATGTTCTGTTCCAAAACTAGCTGTGAACAAGAGTAGAGTGGAGGATGCTAATCTTCTTAAGACTCCCATTATCGGTGTTATTGATGAGGATAAGCTTTTTACTCTTAAAGATAGTTTGGTTAGTTGGTGCAGGAAATTCTTCAAATTGAAGGAGCTGGCTACTATCATGCAAAAAGAAGGCATTTTGCGTCCGAGACTTATGAGATTAAGCGGATTAGCAATTTTAATTATATTTGAAGATGAAGAGAGTATGAATTTTACACTTAACAATCAGTCTGAGGCGTTGCAAACCTGTTTCGGCAAAGTGGAAGTGTGGTCGGAAAATGTTCGGTGCAACAGTCGACGGGCATGGTTATCGTGTAAAGGGATCCCACCGTTTGTGTGGAGTCCTTCTACATTCAGAAACTTAGTAGGAAAATGGGGAGAGCTCATTTCCATAGAGGATGAAACTTTAAATCCTGGTTCCTTTGATAGGGCTTTGTTTCAGGTTATTACGAACCAACAAGCTCGAGTGGAAGAGATTGTTGAATTGAGAGTCGGGGATAGAACTTTTTCAGTATTCGTCTCAGAGTTTGAACCTTGTTTCAACCCAGAATCTGTTTGGGAAGATTCGTTGTTGTTGGATGAAGCTGTTGCTTACCCGGTTTCTCCTGTGGGTGAGCGTGATATGGTCTCGCCAGTCATGGCTTCTGAGCGGGAAACTTGTGCCGGTTTATCTTTCCATGCTAATCTTGATCATTCAGCGAATCGAGAGTTCATCCATGGTTTGAGCGAGGGTGATGTATCGTGGCGTTTCGAAGAGGATCGACTTTTGGATTCAGATTCCCAGGCAGCTCGTTGCAGCTCGTTATGGGGCAGCTGCGTATGTTGCGTCGTGCCAGAGGAGTTGTCTTTCTTATGCGGTGGAGGAAGACTTTTGTGCGCATGTGGACCCAAGAATGGTAGTAAGTGCTGGTGTAGACGGTGTTAATTTTGAATTGGATTTGTCGCTTAGCATGAAAAAGTTGGCACATGCCAATTCAAATTATAATGCGCATGAGGTGGGAGCATTAGTTAATTTGCAAAAGGATTCAGATCTTTTTAATGCGCATGAGGTGGGAGATTATATTAATTCGCACAATTTGATTGCTGGTCTCGAGGATAATGGTTGCGTCAGTCCTATTACACCGTTGGATAGGTCGTCATACAAGGGTAATTGTGCTAGCCCGACTGTCGAGTTATTTTCATTCCAAAGAGAGGATGAGGGGAATTTTTCTAACTCTCATGTTGATCGTGATTATGAGGACACGGTGGTATTGCCTTTTCAGTCCTTCACCAAAAATTTGAAGTTGAAGAAATTTGGATCTATGCTTGATATTCAGGGTAAAGTCCTATCTAAAGCTGAAAGAAAAAGGAGAGATCGAGCGCTGAAGAAATTAAATTTGGATAAATCAGATCTTTTATTATCTGAATTATCAGGTATTTCTATTTCAGATTCAGTTTTAAAGCAAAGGTGGGCTGAAGCCTTTGTTGAAGCGCAGGAGGCAGTGTCAGTTGGTAGGCAACTTGGACTTTTCGTTGGTAGTCCTTGATATGTGGTTCTTTAGAAGCTTTGTCGTTAGCTATGCGTTCTCGCAGATGTTTTTACAGTATAGTCGGGGTTGCTTTGTGAGTTTAGGACTATTTATGATGTCGCAGATGAGAAGATGATGGGAGTTCTATTTGGATGGTCCTTGGTGCAGTTATAGTCTTGATCCGAGATGTTATGGTGCCGTTCTTGAGGATCTATTGTTTGATGTCAGACAGTCATGTTTGTGGGGTGGACTAGTGTAACTGGAAGTTTATTTTGTGGTTAGTGCTTTCATTCCGGGTTGATGTAGTCTCATGTTTCTTAGATAGTGTGCGTTTTCTCAGGAGCTAGTTTATGGCTTTCTGTTCTTTTCACCTTATGGTTCACTCTTTTTCCTCCAAATAGGTTTAGGGAGGTTTTTTAATGAGGTCCATGAGGTGGTGTACCTTGTATCCTTACCAATACAAAGTACTCATTTTTCAAAAAAAAATTAATATATTATAATCATTATGCGGTTATAACTTTTGATTTAGAGTTATTGGCTGTTTTATGGCATTATTATTATGCCTTAACATTTATGTGTTTATGATGAAACATTAAAAGAAACTTTTAAATGTGGATTAAGATTACATTTAAAAATTTGATACATTTGTGTTGTGCTTATGATGCATCGGTTGAATATGCATTAGTGGTAATTTTTATTGACAATTCATTTGGGTAATAAATGGATTAATATTTGAATAATGAAAAATCATGGAAAAAAAACGGTAAGCTTTGAATAGAGTTTTTAATGGTTCTATTCTAGCAAGCAATTGAATTGTTTAATGACAATTAAATAAGCTTTAATGACAATTAATAAAGCTTTAACAATTTTGTTTAAAGGTGGTAGATGGTCGTTTTATTCTTAGTGAATTGTTTCATGTTTCCATGGCATGCCTTATTTAATTCTTTATTATGTGTTTAAGAATTTTAATATGGTTGGTTCATGTACACTGAGTTGAGCTATGAAACTATTCAATTTCTGAATAGTAAGTTTAAAATAAATGTTAACTCTCTTGTCGTACTAATAATTTATTTTGAGAAATTTATAAAGATAACAAAACAATTGCAATTTTGGAGACTCATGAAGATGATGATGTTGAATGATAAGATTCTTCAAACTCAATAGTTGTTAAATTCGATTTGATTTCCACAATATCTTGAAGATAAGAAACCAAAATCCTAAAGATAAGGATCTTGTCACAATCAAATTATTGTTAGTAAATTAATTTCGTGACTAACCATGTATATTCTTCATTTGACTTCAGAAGATTTAAAAGAGAATGGTTCAGATAAAGAGTTTGTCACGATGGATTTTGGGATCATGTTGATTAAAAATGATGATGCAAAGGCTGAAGTAGCATGCATGGTGAGGATGAATAAGTCTATTTGGAAATTACGACTCTACCTGCGAGGTCAGATTATTTAGACTAGTTATCTGTTAATTCATGTTTTTTTAAATACATGAATTAGATTGCATGAGCCTTTAAGATAGTCTTTAAAACTTAGTGGATACTATGAAATGAGATAAAATCACTAGTAAAGACTAAGGTAGTACTACTAAGGATAAGGTAATAGCGCAAGACCAAAATATATATGCTTAATAAGATACTATTATGATTAAAAGTATCAAGCATAATTCTTTAAGAAGTCTTAAGAAAGAGAAAATCTATAAATAATTTATCGAAAAGTAGTGTGATGAGTATGAAAGTGCATGTCTAGGATTGGTTCTGTGAAGACTTGGTACTTAAGCGTGCCTAGTGCACCACCTCTCTTTCATATAAACCTACCTGGTGCATTGTTCATTACTATACTCACTATTCCAATACTATGACAAGATAAAAACTCCTAAAACTTAGTGCAGAAGTTAAAAGAGTAGAAATTAATTTGGTTTAGTGGAATACCAAATTTAGTCATAGTAAATAAAATATATGATAATCTCTTTAAGGCTAACATGTTGAATATCATAAATGAGAATATAATAGACTCTATTGCTACTAAGAGTGTGTTGTAGCTATTAAATCTCTAAGTGATTTTCTTAAGTAGAGGAAAGAAAAGAGATTATCTATTTCATAATGGTTTACGCATTTTAATCTTAATGATTTGTAACTTCTCAAAACTTTTGAGAATATAATTATTTGTAAACAAAACTTGAGTTTGTTAAAATATAGTTTTATGACTAAAACTCATAACAAACTTTAGTATGATTGAGTATTTGTTTACATGATTTACAAGACACTTATGGATATCCCAAAATGTTAGAAATATGGGGGTGTCTTAAAATGTAGATTAAATGCATAAACTTAAAAAGAAAATATTCTATCAACTTCTTCTAGTATTCCTGCTAGGTCTTCTCAAGAAATTGATTTCGAGACCAGAAGAAGTAAAATGCTATTTGGACCAAATTTTATCACTTCCTTTATTTCTGAGATAAATGATTTAGACTCTCTTTATGATCATATAGCTTAAATATTATATGAGAATCCTAAAAAGGCTATAAGATCTATCAATACTAGTTCTAGAAAAACGCTATTAATGATGAACTAGAATCGATAATGTCTAATCATACTTGGGATTAGTTGACTTGCCTAGAGGATTTAAACCAATCTGTAGCAAATGAATCTTCCGGAAGAAAATGAGACCAGATTGTTTGATTCAGTGGTATAAGACAAGACTAGTTGTCAAAGGGTTCATTCAAAAGTTTATTTTAGACTACTCTGATTTTTACTCTCCCGTTATGAACATCTCAACGATCCGTGCATTATTTTCACTAGCCTCCACTCATAAGTTGCGAGTACATCAAATGGATGTTAAGACTGTATTTCTGAATGGAGAACTAGATGAAGAGATATATATGAGAACAATGGTACAAGAAATTTCATAAAAATATACTTAGTTTTGGTTTTGTTGTGAATGGTTCGAATGCTTGTGTGTATTCGAGGATGTTTGGTACTGATTGCGCCATCATAAGTTTTGTATGTTGATGAAATGTTGATTTTCAGTTCTAACATTGAGTCCATTAACAAAAAAAACAATTTCTTGTTCACTAAATTTGAGATAATGGATTTAGGAGAAGTTGATGTAATCTTAGGAGTCAAAATTATAAGAAAGGGATTTTCTTTAAGTCAAACACACTATCTTAAGAAAGTGTTAAAGAAATTTGACAGTTTTGATGTCGTCCCTATTTGAACCCTTATGACACTAGCATATATCTTTCTAAGAATAAAGGAAGTAGAGTTTCCCAAACAAAATATGCTAAATTAATCGGAAGCTTAATGTTCTTAATGAACTATACTCAGCTTGATATTGCTTATGTTGTGAGTTGACTAAGTAGATATACTCATAATCCGAGTGGTGAACACTAGATTGCTCTTAGAAGCTTACTGAAGTATCTTAAGGGCACTTTTGATTGGAAACTTGAGTTTGTTAGGATATCCTACGGTACTGGAAGGATATTGTGATGCCAACTGGGTTTCTAATAATGATGAGGTAAGCTCTACGAGTGGGTATGTTTTTACTTTAGGTGGAGCAACAATCTCGTGGAGATCATCAAAGCAGACTTGTATTGCTCGTTCTACCATTGAGTCAGAGTTTATAGATCTTAACCTAGCTGGGCAAGAAGTCGAGTGGCTCAGAAGCTTGTTAGCAAATATTCTATTGTGGGGAAGATCGACTCCTCCGATTTCTTTATTGTTTGATTCACAATCTGCGATATGTGTGGCTAAAAACCAAGCTTACAAGTGTAAGAAAAGACACACTAGCATAAGACATGAATCAGTTAGACACTTAATAAAGAATGGAATGCTCTCTTTAGAGTATGTGAAGTCGGAAAGGAACCTAGCAGATCCACTTAACAAAGGGTTAAGTAGGAAGCTGGTCCTAGATTCGTCGAGGGGGATGGGTTTTAAGCCCATTGGTTGAGGAATTCATGGTGGATACTCAACTTAGTTATCTAAGTTCCATGTGGTCAAACGAAACCATGAAAAGACTCATAGTGCACATTCCTACTGCCTATCCCTATGATGAATAATGTGCATGCCCAATATGAGCTTAATTGCTCTTAATAAATTCATAGCCCAGGCTCTGGGTGGTCTTAGTGAGAAAGACTTGATGAATTTACTGATTTTGGCTGAAAATCTATTCTTAATAAGTTCATAACCCAGAGTTGAGTGGGTAGTTCTAATTGCGAAAGACTGGATGAACTTACCGCTTGAGAGGATGAGTTTTATTAAACTCTTAATGAATTCAAACCCAAGAGTTTGGGAGTTCCTAGTGAGAAGGACATATTGAATGGGAGTTCCTAGTGAGAAGGACATATTGAATTCACCGAATTATGAGGTTGAGTATTTATTCTTAATGACTTCTTATCCCAGAGTTTGGGTGGTTCATTTTTAATGAACTTAAAGAAAGTCACCATACCCTTTGTGAGGTTGAGCTATTATAAAAGCTCTTAATTATTTCATAGCTCAGTTTGAGTGGTTTATGTTGAGATAAACTTGATAAAATAACCTATGTAAGTGAGAAGAATTAGCCACCTTCTATGAAAAACGTTGGGCCGTTTTTCTAGTATATTTATTAGAATCCTGAGGAAAGAGGGCTAAACATATATACGCTTTTGTATATATTCTTTGTAGACACATCGAGAACTTTGGTGGATGAAGAGGTTAGTTGTGTGTTATGAGTTTACCCCAATCTTAAAAAGTTCAAGACTAGTTTCACTTATCTAAGAGAAGGATTGCTCATCATCACTATGTACTAGTTCCAGATACGATCCCTAGTACTTAAGCAACTAATCTCGCTATTGCCCTTCTCGTGTTTTAACTTCATTGCTCTCATCTTTACGAAAGAATTAGTTCGCATTAGTGGGGGAATGTTGGTAATGCTCATTAAATATTGATATTGGAAAATTAGGTAAATGCTCATTGAATATTGGAAAATTAGGTAATGCTCATTGAATATTGGAAAATAGGTAATGCTCATTGAATATTGGAAAGTTAGGTATTTTCACTAGCATTGGAAATGACTATTTTGCCCTCACTATTTAGCCTATAAATAGAGAGCAATTTCATTCATTTTGTATCATCTCAAGCAAACATTTGCTTTGAAAACACTCATCTCTTTTGAGTGCTGTTTGAGTTGAGAGAAGAGCAATACCACCGAGTTCACTCCAGTTTTCGGGTGTACGAATTCTTGGAGAGCCGTGTTAACTTCAGGGGAACGGTCCACCTACTGCAGCGATTACACACATCGGGACGAACTCGTTTCTAAGGCAGTGGTTAATACCACAACACGGTTTCTAATATGTTTCTTTTAAATTATAATTTACCTTTCCTGTCAATGCTAATGGTGTTATTTTGCGGTCTATTTTCTAACAGTATCAAGGCTGGCCTTTGCCAGCCGTGCATCAAATTGAAATCCACCACGTGGACGCATTCATGACCGTCGAAAGCTTCGAGAATCGCCTGATTAGCAGTGAAGTGAGCGAATTTCAAGTACGGACACGCCTCGTAGAAATAGTGATACAAAATCTCGTTCTCATAATCGGAGCCACCGTTGATAGAACCGCCGCCAATACCTTGGAAAATACGACGGCTCAAAGCATCGATAAAATGTCCAGCAACTTTACCGATACCGCAAACGGTGTTAACACATGTCAGTAACCCTTGCATGTCTTCGAGAAACGATGTAGCCAATGAGAAGTCTCCACATTGGACGCACTCCGCACACGTCATCAACATATGGACCAGCAGTATGCCAGAATCTTCTTCCATGGGCGTGACAATCGGTAACTGATTATTCAAACTTTGTTGCTCGTAAGAAACATTCTGGTGGACCAGCGGCATATTAGACTCGGTGGTGGTCCAGGTATCGTTTACCACCGTCTGATTTGTTACAGGATCCGTGACGAACTCGTAGACACAGGTAGTAGGCAGAGCAAACTCGGATAGGAGCGAATCAACCCAGGAGGCGATATCGGAAGGGTTATAGTGGATTGTATCGGAAGCAAGTTGAGTTAAATCTGCGGGGGAATTAACCATTGCGGTTTCGAGCCTTTGAAGTCGCTGAGCTACTTTGCGTAGCTCGGATGACCTAACTTTATATCCAGCTCCGGCAAGATGACCATCAATATCTTGCTGCTGCTCCGGCTGCAACGGCGGCGGCAGCTTGGAAGAGGAGGAGGATGAGCTGCCGCTTCTACTCCCCGGTAATGTAGAGGAGTCGTACAATATCATGATTCAAACTTGTTCTTTTTTTGCACAAAAAGAAATTGAAACCCGAAAATAAATAAATAAATAAGAGAGATAAATAAGTACACCCAGATTTTAGCGAGTGAGCAGAGAACTGGATGAAAAAGAGGTATTAAAATTAAAAAAAAAATGTTCTTTTGAAATGAAAGAAAAATAGAGAAGGTGGGAAATTACAGGGAATGACGTGTACATGAGAAGATGAGGTGTATCTATTAGAAATTATTTGGTGTACTCCACTCATTGCATCATCTATGCTTGTAGTAAATGAGATATACAAATTTTAAAATAATTCTTAAATAATTATTAACTTATTATATGTAAAAAAATAGATGAAGATTCGACTTAAAAGAACGTGAAACATATGTTATTAATTGAAACGATAAATGATATAATAATATAGTGTTATTTTTTTATCTACCTGACTTTTTTCTGTTACCGTCCTTTAATTCTTACGGTTAAACAAATGATGTCCGTTTATTCTTAATGAAGCATCAATTTAAAAAACTTTAGAAATAGAATTGAAAGTGATTTAGATGTTAATCAAGAATAATGTTTTTTTTTATAAAAAAAAAACAGAATGATAGTGTCAATCATGATGTTAAAATAATATTAGAAATTTTACAATAAGATATATAATAATATTTGAGTGAAAGATTGAGAGAGAAAGGAAGATCACTAATCAATACATTTTTGAAGATTATTTGGATCACATATTATTAGTTAATCAATACGTTTTTGAAGATTATTTGGATCACTAACCATGATGTTTTTTGAACTTTGCTATAAACAAGTTATGTTTAATACTCATAAGCTCCGGTCAATGTCATCCAATTAACTTCAGACATCAACAACAAAATATATTTAAATTATTATTGATATAATATCTAAAATATTAATAAAAGACTGCTGTCATCTGAAATTTAAAAAATATTTAAAACAAGGACAACAATGATATTACGGAGACATAACAACCCATTTCTCGAAAGCTTTATTTATGTGTTTTGATCTTTCAAAAAAATTGTTTTGAGTGATCGGCCTAGGTCTGCATCCGAAACAATGATTCGGGTATGAACTTCATCTCGGATCGTCCACAAGAAGACAGGCCACGTGGACCAATGAACTGAAAGTGTTTCTAAAAGCATTTATAACTAAATTAATTTAAAAATAAATAATCAGGGTCCTCTTATGAAAGTTTAAAGAAATAGTGAGAAAAAGAAACATGGCTTGCAGTGGGACTCTTGCATTACTAAGTGAACTAGCAGAAAGCTCCCATGACCAATGGTGAAATGACAAACCTTATTAAAGAATAAAAGTAACAAAGGGATTGATCTCAGAGAAGAATGGTTGGAATTATTGCAACATAGCTGATCAAGCATCGGTTTATCTCATGGAGTTGGTGCCTTTCTCTGTTGCAACATCAATCATGCTTACGTGCGTTGATTCCAGTTATTACACACAAGATTGGTTCAGAATTCAAGCTGACACAAGGATTTGTAGACTACTTTCTTTTCCCCTTTTTCATCCAAGGGATACTATGTTGGCTGGTATTATGATTTTAAGAACCAAAATTCAATTAATCAGAGGAAGTCCTTGAAACTAATCTGGCCCTGGGACCCTATAAGTTTCCAAAATCAACTTCTAAATCAAGCTCACCAGAATACCTAAGCACAATGAAAAGTAAAAAACAAACAACAAAATATATATTCGTAAATATCAATAAGCCAAATACCATGGGAAAATTCCAACCAGCCAACCAGTAACATGAAGCAACAAAGAAACCACTATATTGTCAACTATGAATATGAAGCATAATAATTTATAAATCTCCAAAATGCTAAAGCACTAAGTTCTAGCCATGTTTAAATTCTAGATAGCGATTGTGAGATCTTATACAGAAAACATCCTTCCAAAATTAATAGAGACTAACACATTCCAATTGTATTCTTAGCGGCTAAAACCAGGAAAAATAAGAAATGATACTTCTCATACTGAAACATGTTTACCAGAAACACTCTTATCTTGGTTCTCTTCAGCATCCTCCTCATCGGCTTCACCTGTCTGCCTAGACGCCGTTGGTTCACATGGCAGTCCAGTAACTAACTGCTGATAAAGAACACCTTCTGCCAGTGTGAAAGGCAGACCAACCCAAAGGGGGTAGCATGTTTATCCCAAATCAGCACATTGATCACAACTGTAAGGAACTTATTCACAACACCAGTCACAGTAAATGCCGTGGCAGTGATCGCCTTCCTAGCCGCAAACCCGAAGAAACTAATGAGCAAACCGAACAAACAAGATAAAGATACTGCAGTAAACGTCACAGGTTCAAACCAATCCCCACCATTGGCTCCCAAAGCAGCAAAAACCTCACTGTATTCTCCAGTCAAAACCCAAAATATGGGTGCCATCATCAAGAACAAGTTATTGTACAACACAAAACCCCAAGTGTTCAACCCAAGATTCATCACCATATGCTTAATGTAAACCATCTTGGTTAGGGCTGTAAAAAGTTGATCCGACCTGTAAAACTGAATGAAACCGACTCGAGTCAAAATTGTTTTTGACCTGCACAGTGGCGTTCCGAAACCGACTCGAGTCAGAACTGGTGTTGACCTGAACCCGATTTGGACCTGGAAATTGTGGATCCGAACCCGACACGCATCCGACGTGAGAACAACCTGAACCCGAATTGAACCGAAAATATGTTACCAAAACTGTATCCGACTGATATGAACCCGAACCCAGACCCGAGATTGACCTAGTAAATAACTGGTATTACCCGACCTATTTTCAACCTGACTTGTTTTTAACCTGACCTGTTTTTAACCTGACCTGTTTTTAACCTGACCTGTTTTTAACCTGACATGTTTTTAACTTGACTTGTTTTTAACTTGACCTGTAAATGATCCGACTTGTTAATGACCTGATCTGATATTTATCTGACTTATATATTACCATGAAAATCTTATAAATTATTAGTTTTTTAACTTATGATGTAATTAAAATATTAATATGATTACTTTTTAAATGTTATAATAAAATATTTATTATGATAATTATATTAATAAATAGACCTATTATATAAAATTATTTAATAAAATTAATAAAATTATTTAAATGTAAATTAGATAAAACATTATTAATAATGCAAAGGAAAATTAATATATTTTAATTTATATAAATTATATAGTTTAATTTATATAAAGAAAAAATATTATTAATAATAAAAGTATTTATTATGTAATATATATTAATGGTTTACATTAATAATATAAATAATTTTGGAAATAAAATAATAATTAATTTGATAATAAATGAATATTAGTATTAAACGTGATTAATTATGTAAAATATAAATATAAACTATACCGTTTAATTTTTGTACAAAAAATTATCTAACAATTATAACATAAATGAAAAATAATATAAATATAAACTATACCGTTTATATAAACTATATACTTTATTACTTTATATAGTTTATGCATAGTGTTTCTATAAATTGCATCGAATTAAAAATTTAAGAAGATATTTACAATTAAACCATGACTAAAATGAAAGAAATTAAAAATCATATACAAATGGAAAAATGATGATTGGTGGAGGAGCATGAGCCTAATTAACCCAAAATATCTTGTTGGACATTATATTTGGCGCCAACTTCCCAAATTTTTATATTCGCTCTAAATTTTCCAATTTCTCTCTAAATTCCAAATTTTCCTCTAAATTCTCAATTTCTCTATATTCTCAAAATTTCCTAATTTTCCTCTAAATTCTCAAATAAAATCAAAATGTTTCACACAAAAATCTTTCTTTTAAAAAGTTTTCTCCCACCACTCACTTTGAATAATATATATATATATATAAGTATATACATAAATATATATATAATTAAACATAAGTGACTAAAATAAAAGATTCTAAAATTAACATTAACATTTAATAATTAGCCTACATGTATTACAAATATATACATTTATTAAAAAAACAAAAAACCCTAAACTACTCCTAACCGTCGGTTTTTGTGGTGTATGGGGGGAAATTTTGACTTTGGTTTTTGAAAGGAGACGAAGCACTAAATGTTGGTCTAACTTTTTAGATGGTGTGATGTCACTAATCCATGGCTAAAGGTACCAACAAATTCCAACCCTTGGATCAAAAGTAGATCCAATGGCCAATATATTGTCTTCTCCAAGAAGACTCCAAGTTTCATTAACGTCCTATATATAAATTATAATTATTTTTAATTTTCCATTCTTTCTTTAATGTGCATAATTTTTAAATGTTAATGTTAATTTTAGAATCTTTTATTTTAGTCACTTATGTTTAATTATATATATATATAAGTATATATATATATATATATATATATATATATAGTATATATATATATATATATATATATATTATTCAAAGTGTGTGGTGGGAGAAAACTTTTTGAAAGAAAGATTTTTGTGTGAAATTTTTTGATTTTATTTGAAAATTTAGAGGGAAATTAGGAAATTTTGAGAATATAGGGAAATTGGGAAATTTGGAGGGAATAGAAAAATTTGGGAAGTCGGCGTCAAATATAGTGTCCAACAAGATATTTTGGGTTAATTAGATTTATGCTCTTCCAACAATCATCATTTTTCCACTTGTATTTGATTTTTAATTTCTTTCATTTTAGTCATGGTTTAATTGTAAATATCTTCTTAAATTTTCAATTCGATGCAATTTATAGAAACACTATGCATAAACTATATAAAGCAATAAAGTATATAGTTTATATAAACCTTAAATCCTAAATCATAAACCCTAAACCATAAATATTAAACCCTAAACCATAAATACTAAACCCTAAATTTTAAACCCTAATGTATATATAAACCATGTATAGTATATATAAACTATATATATATATATATATATACCTATATATATATAAACTATATAAAGTAAATTACTTATATAGTTTATAGAAACTCTAAACCCTAAATAGACTA